TACCCCGGTCTCTTGATAACTTGGTCGGCGAGGGTGGGGGTGGGGCAAGTCGCTGAAACATGCCATGGTCACTTCTGTGCAAATAACATGATAACTCAAACATGGCGGACCTGATAGCTTATGTACCCTGGTCCTGATAACTTGGTCGGCGAGGATGGGGTGGGGCAAGTCGCTGAAACATGCCACGGTAACTTCTGTGCAAATAATATGATAACTCATACATGGTAGACCTGAAAACTTTGTCGGAGGGGTCGGGGTGGGGGTGTCGTTGAAACGTACGACGGTAACTTCTATGCAAATAACATGATAACTCACACATCATAAACATGATAAATTATGTACCAGTCCTGGTAACTTTGTCGGATGGGCCGCAGTGAGGGAGTCGTTGAAACAAATATACCACGATAACTTCTATGCAAATAGTATGATAACTCACACATCATAAACATTAAATTATGTACCCGGTCATGGTAACTTTGTCGGTGAGGTTGGGGTTGGGAGGGAGTCAATGAAACATACCACAGTAACTTCTATGCAAATAACATGATAAATCACACATCGTAGAAATGATAAATTATGTACCCAATCCTGATTACTTTATCGGCGGGGATAGGGTGGAAGGAGTTGTTGAATCATACCACGATAAGTCTTATGTCAATAACATGATAACTCACACATCGTAAACTTGATAATTTATGTACCCAACCCTGATAAATGTGGCGACTGTGGCGAGGGGGGCGGGGGGCAACCCCGGTAATATATATGTAAATAGCTTGTTAATAGACACATACTAAGCTGATAACTCACATACAAACGCCATTATAATTTTTTGACCCGAATTTTTTTAGTTGAAAAATATACACCCGGTAATTTCTATGTAAAAAGCATGATAATGTATACATCACAGATTTGATAACTAATGTCTTACATTTTAAACACCATGGTACCTTTCATCCAAGGGAAAAAAGTTTTTAAACATTTTCATCGGTAATTTATGTGTTAAATTACCATACTTCCTTATGGCTTAACCTTCTCGTACTGTAGTTATCAGCCTTATCGTGGTATAGTTATCATGTTGCTCATACCATAGTTATCACGCTGGTCATGCCAAAGTTACCATGCCAAACTTTATTTTTTCTTCTGATATAGCAGAAATAAGAAAGGTACAAATAAGATTGTTTATCTACAATAAGCAACAACAAAAGGTGGCTTAGTTGGTTATTAGGCTTAATAGGTATTGCATAGACCTAGGTTTGAATCCTCTTTCAAGCACTTTTATTTTATTTTAATATTATGCGGTGAAAAACCAGAAAAAACCGCTAGCGATTTATCATGGTTTTTAAGAGAAGAAAAAAATCAGTGAAAAACGAGCGTGAGAAGATAGCGGTCACGTAGGAACTAGTCGTGCGGAATGACAAAATTAACATGCAAAGTAAAAGGAAATGGAGGGAGCAGTAGACCTCCACAGTTCTCGAAGAATGGTCAAGCATGAATCCCAAAGCATAGTATGTTATAAACACAGCGTATGGTGTATCAACCGCTTGGAAATGGGCATGCCTACCACTCATCTGATCCATTTGAAATGAAAGGAACGCTCGTGTTTTCTGAAACAAGTGCATGCTGCCTCCGGTATTGCTCAACAACATCAAACTCGAAGCAAAACTATGGGTCACAGCATGAGCAAAGAAGCTTTACTCTACTCTACTCTATTTTTATTTAATGGATGAGATAAATCTTTTGCTTCCATTTTTTAAAAAAAACGGTGGTATGTTTGCATAGGTGCTAGGGAAGAAACAACACAAGCACGCCTAAAAGAAAGAAAGAGAAAAAGAAAAGAAACAAATGCCGATAACGGTGAATCGATAAAAACGACGAAGCCTCGCGACCGTTGCGTCCACCGGAGATCGCCCACCAAGCTCCGAGACTCCGAAGCGCCGGTACCAATCAACACCTCCAAGAAGGGACGCGACGATGACGACGCTGCTGCTAAGGGTTTCCCCCGGTACACGATGAGGAAAGAGGAAGGGTAGCCCCGACGCCCTCCAGGAATGTCCGATGGCACCCTTAGGCGACACCGCGTCGGTGTCGGCCAAGCCAACAGAGATTTCTCCCAATCACATCCTCCACCTCAGGCACTCCGGAGCTCGCCACCAAACCGACCCTGCGCCAACACGGACACGAAGCTTCCTGCGCTGTCTCACCATGGCACCGCGAAGATGGACTGCACAACGAAGAAGAGGAGCCGGGACTAGGGAAGCAACACCGTCAGCATACGGGAGGGCCCCACCTCCACCGTCCATGACGGTAGCCGACCGGACACCAAAGCAGGAGCCTACCGGGCCCATGGCCCCACAGGCCCGGCCGGGCCCTCAGAGGCCCGGACAGCTCCCGCCTCCGCGCAGCAGCTGGCACGCTGTCGACGCCGCTGCCCCAGTCCAAGCCGCTCCCCTCCCTCCCCATACAGAGAGCGTCGTGGTCGTGCCGGAGCCGACCCGCAAGGACCCAGATGGGGCCCTACGGGCCCAGATATGGGCCGGGGATGCGCCACCGGCCATCCAGCACCACCGGAGCGCCCCGCCGCCAAGAGGTGGCACCACCGCGGCGAGCGCCGCCGGCCTCCGCCACTAGGACGCTGGGCCGCCACGAGTCAAGCACCGCCGCCGCCTCCCCCTACCCCGGGAAGGAGGAGAACGCGCGGGTAAGGGACGACCCGCCGCCGCCGACACCATCCGGCCGAACCCGGGGGCGACCGCCGGCGGCGGCGGGGGGAAAGGGCGAAGGAGGACGAACGAGAGGGAGGTGAGCGTGCGCCGCCCCGGCCGCCTCCCGGGGAGACGACGGAGGCGGTGGGACGGAGAGGAGGGGATGGGGGCGGGAAGGGGAGGGGGAGGGGAGGCCTGCGCCGGGCGGCTGGCGGCGGCGGCGACGGCGACGGTGGGAAACCCTAGAGAGGGAGCGGGTTGATTGGTTTACCACATCGTTGTGTTGCGACTGCGACTCCTTATCATATACTTTCTGATGTACTAACGTAATTCTGAGCAACCCTATTCATGTCTGGATTCCCAATTGTGTGTAATTAGACGCACTCAATCCAATCACGCTACTCATGTGCGTATGGGCTTACATCTTCTACGTGATTACATTAGTTTACTCTTTAGTGATTAAAAGATCTTATACAAGTTTCTAGTATGGGAAATATCATTAATTTTTGCCTCGATTACTGTTGATGTTAATGGCCTTGTATAGATGCAAAATGTATTCTTGATAGTGACCTTGTATAAGGGAATGAAGGGAGCATGTATCAATTGGATTGACAGGGAAATCAATCGGTGGGGATAACTGAAAAGAT